GCACCAACGGGTAAAATGATTTTCACTCATTTTTAAGGCCAGCTACTCCAATTGATTTGCGACAGCTTCGTGCAACTTTTTCTAAACGATACCAATCGTTCGACTGTCAGGCAAGCACTATGATCGAATTGCAAACCTTGATTATATGAAGTATTCGATATATCTGAGTCACCAGACCCTTGGTGATGTTTTAATCTACCAAGCCTTTGACAGCTTGCCATGGATATGTACAATTCGGGTCCAAATAATCGCATCTCAGATCCATTGCTATTGTGATTCTCGATGTGCAGAAGAAAGGTACCTCACGTACCTCCCTCTGTTCCGAACCTAATCGAGTCTCAATGCACCAAAATCCTTTGAAGAAATTTGCTTGTTACAGCCTGTTTCTTGGATCATATTCTTTCAGTCACTGTTCGAGTCATGAGTAGATATGAGAATAAGTAAAGGAGCAGAATGAGGGCAGACAGCTCAGCTCTTACTTGATCATCAGAAGAAGGCTTATCTGCATTCTGTTACCATTTGCCATCTGCCATCACTCATGAATGTTGCTCTGAGGTACTTAAACATGTCAGCCTATCCAGTTGCGCTCCACTGCTCTGCAGAACTCATTCGTAGTCTTCTCGAGAGTATGAAAGTTTTAGTCTAAGTCACAATGTTCTTCCTGCCGGCCTCATCTATGCAACGACGACCAATCAAGAGATCCTTGCAAGGAACCCTGTACTGCACAACAGATCTACAGACAAAATACATCCGTAAGGCTTTCGCCATGTTTGTGCCAGAGTGACTGGAAAACGTCAAAATACTAGTCGGCAATATGGAGAGTGTACCGGTTTCGCGTTTAACAAAGTCAGCATCCAACATGTGACATTTTACTCTATTCCATGCTTCGTTTTGCTTCATAGCAAAAATACTTCACTATGTGAAATGAGTCATGATTTGCATTGCGTTATGGGATCCGAAACACCGTTGCTTTAAGAAGAATAATGAAAAAAGAAATATTTGAACAGGATAGGCAGCGTGGCAAAAACTAAGAATTTTTTAACTTCCAAATGTTACAATGTTATATTAATAAATTTAAATGCAATACAGCGTTGATCATCATGAACAATCAATCAAGATTTACTACAGGTCTGTCAGTATATAGAGATGTCATTACTGCATTCATGTACGGCAAAGTTATAACACACAATTCGTCTTCGAAGCATACTTCACATTGTGTATATACGTTTGATTTTCACCCTACCCGTTTGCATAACAAAACTACTCCCGTGTGTGCTGTCCAGGGTATTCACAGATTTTATACATTCTTCCTATAGGAGACATCGATTACTGCACAGTAGAAGGAACAATTCCTCTTAGATAAAGCAGATCTCGCTCCATCTCTTTTTATTTTATGAAGCTCATTGGAGTGAATGATTTTTGTGCAACCATCGGTCTTACAAGGCCAGCCTCTTTTCATTAATATTTTCATCTACGACGCGCTCCAGTGCCCCTGCATAGGGGATATCGCTCGTTTATCGAAATTAATATATTCTTCCATATAAATGCATCGGAAAATGGTAATTCTTTGCCTTTCTATCTCGATGGCTTTGTACGACTCTGTACAATAACGACATATCTCAACGGGATATAGTTCGGTTAGAGCTGGCAGCGCTGTGTAGCCGTTTTTTGTCACCATGCTGAGAACAAAGCATTAACATCTTTACCTGTAGCACGTGATTTGGATAGTCTAACACACAAATCTGCCATCTTAAAGTTGAACATCACGAATGAACGGTTCCGAATTGAATGTTGTTCTGAACCTTGAACGGAAAAGGAAACCTTAATGACGTCATAGTGATTTCGGAAGCTCGACGCATGGATCAAGAAAAAACAGATGCGAAGAATCCATAGACACTGTGGTAGTTCGAGAACGACAAAATCCGTGCTGCTGGAATCACCGTCCTCACTTTCTCCGAAAGTGAAGAGTTCTTTGATCTCAGGCGAGTGTGTTTCCGGTCGATTCGTGTTGTGTCAGTGACCTAGGCGCAAACGAAGTAGCAGACGCATGTGTCGAGCGATGGTGACAAAAACCACCTCTATGAATATTTGC